CTTTAAAAATTATTCTTATTGGTGTGTTCTGAGGGCCCAAATTGTGCTTATCACTGGGATTTGGATGATTTTTTCCCCTCCATTGCAACTGTACTTCACTTTCCCAAACACATTGCTTCCAGCATGGTGTCAAAGGGGCAGAGTTAAGGGTATCTGTGTTGTTTCTGTTGACTAATAGCTGTGTCTAACTATGCAAAAAGCATTTCCTGACCAACCTGCCTTCAATTGCAAGGTGCTGCAGGAGGCTGAGCATGCTCCAACTTACCTCAATCCTAAATGGACAGCTCGTTTTCTCTAGGCTAGATTTGACACCTGGCATCCCATCACCCAGCCCTCCTATTTCCCACCCCTACTGCTGCTGCTTTGTCAACATCATCAAGTCGAGAGGCACTAATTACCTTCCAGTGAGAGGGCACAGAGCCCTTGGGAAGGAACCTGCGTGTCTGCCCTGCTTGCTGCCTGCTTAGCACTGGGCTGCGATGCTGCTGGGAAGAGGACGTGCTGTTGGGGCCGTGTGACATTTCCATCTCAGTTTTCATGCACTGGTGCTGGAGGAGCTGAGGGATGGGTATTAGCAAGGTGCTGTGAAGTGTGGGGCCAGACATCAGGAAGGGGAACACAGAGCAAAACTTGGTGTTGGGATGGTCCTCTGGCTCTTGAGCATCACCTGAGCAGAGTTAGTGCCTTCCCCAAATACTTGGTGCTCCTTCCAGGCAGGAATAACCTATTTCCTGTCCTTTCATGGGGAATATCAAGTGTATTCAGGGTGATATCACTACCTATGGACATTCTTAGGGTGCTTTTGCTGCTGGATGCAAGCAGCACCCTTCATTATCAGTCTTGAACACATGGTCAGAGATGCCCCCGTATGTGTTTTTCCAGGTGTGTGATGACAGCTAAACACAGCTCCTAGCTAATGCCATGGGGTTAATTTACCCCAGGAAGACTCAGGGAGTGATTCCTGCTGGGGGAATCTCTGTCCCTCAGTGCAGTGATTTGCTGCAGGGCTGCCAGCAAGGTGCTCCCCAAGCATTGCTAAGACAGGCAGCTGTGTGCTGAGCCCAGTGTTGCGTCAGGTAATTAGCTCCCATTTATATCCGTTAGGTGTGCAATTAGCCTCCTATTAATGCAATTAACGGCGTGGCATTAGCTTAAGTATGTAATTGGCACAGAAGGTAGCTGCAGCTCAGCTGCTGAGTGGCATCTACTGTGTGGTTTCTGCATGGATGGTGAGGAGGGATGGGGGTGGTCAGCTCTCTAAGCCAGTGACAGGTTTTTTTGGTGCAGATTCTTGCACTGTGTGAGCCTGGCTTTGCACCCACTTGATAGAATCGTAGAATCACAGAATACCCCGAGTTAGAAGGGACCCATCAGGATCTTTGCTTCAGCTGCAAAGTGAAGCAATTCTCCAACCTTCTTCTACCTTAAAATCCCCTGGAAATGCTTAGAGGAGCTGATGAGATGAAGCCCACCTCCTTCCCAGTGCTGTGGGACTTGAGGAGGGGGAGGAGGTTTGTGTTTTAGGGGGTCAGATTGGACCTTGGCAGGATGCAGGACTTGTCCTGAATTCACTGCAGTTCGCTCCTGCCCTCCCTGGGACTATGCAGACGTCAGAGGTGCTGGTCCATCTGGCTGCCATTCCGGGGAGTGAGGAGTGATGGAGAGAAGAAATAACACCTCCATCCTCCCCGAGCCATTCCTGGCACCCGGCCCCTCCTGGCAGCTTTCAGACAAGAAGGTCTGACAAGCACAGACACAGTTGGCCTTTTGGGATGTCAGGGATGGAGAAGGGCTGTGGGGATGAGAAGGGATGGAGGCTTTGCTGGATTCTACCCTGGTAGAGATAGAAACACTTCCCACGTGTCCCGCTGCCCTTCGGGTGCACAGACAAGCTGCTCACCTTCAGATGGTGCCGTTGATTAACAGTGGAGCAGAGTGAGGGGTCACACTGAGGCTGGCCCCAGTGAGGGTGTTTGGCTCGGGGAAAGCTTCTGACAATCTTGATTAACAGCCTCCTCATCTGCTCACAGCAGCGGTAAGCCATGGGAGATCCGGGCCAATGCAGCTCTATAATCAAGAGGGTTTGAAAGAAGCAATTTTCTCCTCTTGCAACCCAGTTGATCCTCATTTAATTGCTGCTAGTTCTGCATAGATTTCCCTGAATTGCCACAGCACTGTCTGCACTTCATCCTCTCCAGTAAGTCTGCGGTGCTTGACTCCTATGTTGTTTTGCCAGGCTGGGATGTGTGATGCTCTGGGGTCTTGAAATCTCTCCGTACAATTTTGGCACAACACAGCTGAGATGCAGCTCAGAAAACAGAAAATCTCTGTGGACGGAGCCACACTTTGCTCCATGCAATCATAAAGCGTGTTGGGTTAAAAAAAAAGAAATAGAAAAGCACAGAAATCAGATGCTGAAACCCTGCTGTGCAGGGAGCAGGTCCCTGACGTGGTGCTGGCCAACTTCGTCTTGCTGTCACTGTCACAGGCTCTGCTCAGCGTTGACTTGACAGGTTTTGTTGCTGGGGATGGGATGAGTTTCCCTTAGCATTGCCTTGCACAGAGGAGGAGGCCAGAAGCATCTCTGCACACACAGCCCTGCAGAACACAGCCACCTGGAGTACAGAAGGGCCATTTCTTATCTGCTGAGCCTGCCTGTGGTCTCTGAGCACTTCTTTAACCTTATTAATGCATTAAAATATAGCTCCCATTAACCACTCAGATCATTTTCATCAGACTCATAATCATTTCTATTACCATGCCTTTGGCTTAGTGTTGCGTTACTGGTCAAACTTCAGCCTAGACATCATAATTCCAGCTTATCACACAACGTTTGTCCTGTATATCTCAACTTATTTTCCCTTCTATCCGGTAGACAAAGTCACACTGCTTTCCTGGCTTGCACCAAGCTCTTAGCCCTGTCCTTGTAGTGCATTTCATTCACACGTGCTCTCATAGTGAGGTTTTCTCACCTGTGCTCATCCAGGTGAGGCTTTCTCTCCTGTGCTCTCCTGCTTTTGCTATGCCAACACTTCTGTGATTGTGAATGCTACAAATGCAGCTTTAGAGGAACTCAATGGGACCATCTATCGTCCCACCCCTGTGCTCCTGTAAGAAGGGCTGCATGGCAGCAAGCAAAGCAGCCAGGGAGCAGGGAAGGAGACCTGTGGGTCTTGAGCAGTTGCCCCCTGTCACTGCTTAGGGGAACTCTTGTGGGCAGTAATCCCCATGGGCATGGTGCTCAGACCCTTCCCCTAGCGCACGTAAATTAGGGTCTTCCCCTCGTTGTATCAGCAAATGGCTGGAAAAAGATGCACCTGTTGGGGCAGAAAGGGATTGTGTTTGGGGAATCATTGGTTGGGTCTGGATGGGCACCTCTCACTGCTTCCACCAGGAGGAAGGATGCTGTAGGATGCCAAGTAGGTCACCAACCCCCATCACATTGACATTGCTTTGCCTGCTCCTGAAGCAGGGCTGGATGCAGGAGCAATGGAGCAGAGCTTTCTGCAGGATGGCACTCAGCAGAACCCAGCATCTGGTTTTGTGACACAGTGCAATCTGTGCCTCTGTTTGCCCAAATTCTCCCAGGCTAACACCAAGGGTTAATGCAAGCTTGTCTGTAGAAGCTGCAACCTTGTCAAGAGCACAGGAGACAGCGATTGGCAGGTCATTCATCTTGGAATTACTTGATAACTTCAAATACAATCATGTAATCAGTGGGAACGTGTAATTATTATTTATGTGCACGGTGCTTACCAAATTACAGCGCTTTCCAAGGCTGAGTGAGATGAGCAAATTAATTCTGCAGCAGAAGAGCTTGACCAGAAAGAGGTGTTTGTGTCTGAATTTCACTAGTAAACACTGATGTATGAAATGAACTTGGAGCTTAATTGCATATTACCTTTACTCTCAGCTCAGCTGTGAGAGGGAGCGTAGGATGCTGCATGGAAAATTTAGAGAGGTGTTTGGTTTTGGGAGTGTGGGAGACCCATAGTGGGGGTCCTTTAACCTTCTTTAACGGGATGCTGCAGTATCCTCATGGAAAGCTGTATCCCTCCTCTGCCCTATGGGATGGACCTGGGGACACACAAAGCCCCCAGATGGGAAGTGAAGAGGGGCCGTGCTGGGGGTGTTTTCTCCAAACCATAAAGATGCCCCCAGAGTCCTTGAGAGAGGAATCAAAGTCATTTTAATCAAAGAAGGCTGAGAACACACACACACACACCTCTCCGTACGGGAAGCAAAGTCAGAGCAAACCACTGAGAGAAAGGAAAAGCAGCGATGCGAATGCAAACACGTGTTTGGGTTTCTCCCTTTGCTCTTTTCAGTTTGCAGCTTCTTCCCCACCAGAAATGACAGCTTTAAAAAAACAAACAAACAACAACCCAAAGGAACATAGAGCACATCGCTTGTGGGAACACCTTTAGTATGTACAATGAAAACACACTTCTTGGGGGGGGTTCTCCCTTCTCTATATTGCCAGCAGCTCTGAGCTAGTGCCTACCCAAGTGCCCAACACCACACACACAGAGCATCCCATGGGGAGTCCATCCCTGCAGGATGTCACCCTCTGTCACTGGGTAGGGGCCTGGGAGGGGCTCTGGCTGTGCCATATGCTGTGCTTTCTCAGCAATTTCCTTAGGGTTTGCACCATTTTTACACATCTGCCCATATGGGAATAAGGATGGGCTTGGCTGGTTTTCCCACTGTGCATCTCCAGGGTGATTTTTCCCTCACCCACACTTGGGATGAAGGGCACTTTCTGCTGGTGATGGGTGAACTTTGCTTGACCCACATGAAGGAACTGTCCCAGTGGGGGTCACTGGGTGATGCTGGGAGCTGCTCCCACCATGGTATTGGGGGCACTTCTGGGTTGGGCTGCACATTAGACATGCAAGAGGGAAATCTCTGAGGGAGAAAGACAAATGGAAAGGATTTGCTTCAAACTGATGAACTTTGTAAATGTTTAAGGAAAGATCCTGAAGGTTTTAGCCTGAATCTTTTTTTTTTTTCCCTTTCTTTTCTTTAATGGAAAAGAGATTTTGCTCTCTTTTGGTGGTGCGCCTTGAGGAAATCGCATCCTACAAATTCTACAATGCTTAAACCTCCCGAGGATGGGAAATACTTATAGCTGTTCTTTACAGGGGGGGCGGAATTGAGGCACAGAAGTGTGAAGTGACTCCTAGCAAAGCCTGCAGGGCCTTGGAGGCAAAGCCCTGGGATGCAGAAAGCAGCCTCAGCCCACAGCCCCACTGCATGAGCATCCCATGGGGGGGTAAAGCTTGGCTCTCAGATCAGGTATGGATCCTGCACTGCACACAGAGCTGCATTCTCTGACCACGTGAAATGGGATGCTGAGGGCAGACCAGGGACATGGTAGAGCCCAGGAGCTGGTGAGGGGATGGAGGCTGCCACTCCTCCAAGGCACTTAATCCCAGCATGGGAGGGATTCGGCCCTGGTCTCTACATGAGGGCAGGGAGCAGCTTTGGCACTGAGCTTGGTGGGAACAGGGCAGGGAGGGACAGAGCCACACACATCTCCATAGGGCTGCTCTTCCTCACCTTTCCCCAAGCAGGGACAGGGAGCTAGGTTGAGTCCTGGGGCTCTGACTTTGTGTCCAGCCTCCCTGCCCTCTGTCTCACACGGAGAAATCAGCTGACAGATGGGGCTCCAATAACCCCAGTGCTTTAAAAACACTGCGTTGTAAAGCAAAGTCCACAATCAGCCCCGGGCTCTCTGTCACCTTCATCAACTCAGAAGCTTTTGCCCACCCCGAGCAGCATACCCAGCTGAGGGATTAATCCCTGGGGCATCCCTGTCTTGGTGTCACCTTGGACAAGTGACAAATACAGGGCGAGTTGGGACACAGGGCATTGTACTGGGATGGATGCAGACAGAGCAGCTGCTGCAACCTCTCTGGATTCCTCCTGCCACCCCAGTAGGTCACACCAGGCCAAGCAGGCAACAACACATCTCAGATGTCCCACAACCTACAGGTCTGTCCTGTCCATACAGGAGCTTCTGCAGAGTTTCCTATTACCTACTGCAAGTTCGTGCATCCTCTGCAAGCAGCACACCCCGCTCCTGTACCCACACAGCAGGGTCCCGTCGGGCAGCTGCCTCCTCCTGCCTCACACTGCTGAGGACTGCTTGATGCTGTGGAAGCTGACCCGGGTCGGGGAGGTGGGGATGGACATGGCCCGAGCCACCCGAGCACGGATGGAGTGCTTGTCCTGCCATCGGTGCCACCGCTTCCGCACAGCCGAGCGCACCTGGGGGTGACACAGAGGAAGGGACAATTAATATCCATCCAGCTGGCCAACGCTGAGCTAAGTGCTGCAGAAGGATTATCTGAGCTCTGATTGCAAAAGGCAAGGGGGGGTTGTGTGATTTTTCCTAGAGGAGAAACGCAGATTTCCTGATTCTTTTCTTTTTCCTGGTCCTGCTATTGAGGGTCTGGTACCAAGCGGGGCTCTGAAAGCTGTTCAAAGGCACAAAGATATCCCCGTGGAAGGTGTGAGGGGCTGAGAGGCAGGAGAATGACCACTGGGGACTTCTGTGGCTTGTCTGGCTCCCAGCTGGGATGGTAGCCATAGCAGGACCACACGCTGCATAACACAAGATGCTCACCAGCAAGTTCTCATCCAGACCCTTTTCCTTTTCCATCAAAAATAGCAGCATCAGTGAGTTACTTAGCACATCTGAGCCTGTTATGTCAGGATGCTGCCAGCTGCCTTTTGTTGCTGAAAAGCAGTTTGAAAAATAACCCAGAGAGGGGTCTGCGTCTTCTCTGGAGCTTTAAAATACTTACGCTGCTGTTCCCTGGGGCTTTGCTGGTTGCTTTTGTGCATCACAGCCAGTGAAGGTGTGAGAACATTTAGGAGGAGGAGAGGGAAAGGATCGGCTCCTGGTCTCATCTCCTTTGCTTGCTGCTGAGTTTTAAGTTGGACTCTGAGAGGTGCCTCTTTTAACATGCATGTGGGAATGGGATCCTGGCTTCTCCTGCTGCACCAAATCCCATACATGCATGCCCGAAGCATCCATTTGCAGTGGGGTATTTTCCTTCCCCAAATAGGAAGAAATAGTGATTAACTGATATTTCCTATGATATGTTCTGCTTCAGCTGAAATTCCTCCCCAAAGCTTTGCCTTGCTTGCTGCATGTGAGATAGGCAGCAAAAATTCTCAGTTTCTCACATTTTTGGAGGCTGAGCATCTCTGTTAAATCCAGCACAGCGCCCAAACAAGCCACAACAAATGCAAAGCCTGGGAGGAAGAATTAGTAAAGGCTGGAGACAGTATTCCAAACAGCAAAGCCCTGGAAGCTGTCAGCTGTGTTTGATTTGCATGGGATGCTCATGGGCAATTCTCACCAAAAACAAACAAAACAAACCCACAGAACCACAGCAAACAAAACCAGAAGGAGCAGGAACTACATTTTCTATTCCCTGTGAGAAGCGATTCCCATTTTCTGTCAGATCTCCCCAGCAGGACAAAGCATAGAGTCAAGGAATATCCTGTTCCCTGTGTGAGTACAATGTGAGATTGTGGATGTGCCTGCAGCTGAGGGTAACTCATCTTGCAGCCCCTCTCAAGGATGGGCACAGACCTCCCCCAAGAAGCCTCAGCCCCAGTGCTCACCTCACTGTTCAGGAAGCAGTAGAAGACAGAGACAAAGAAGCCCTGGAAGGAGACAAATGCAGAGTCACAGTGGAGTTACCCCAAGGTTGAGCATCTCTGAAGCAACCCCAAGGCTTGGGGAGGTCAATTTTTGGGATGGAGGAGGAGTGAAATGAGACATCAGCCACACCATGCGCTCCTCCACATCCCTTGGGCCCTGGGATGGCAGCTGGAGCTGAGAGTCATACCTGGAAGGACTCCAGGAAAGAGTTGAAGTAGATGAAGACGATCCTGGAGATTTCATCCTCCCCTGGATTGACGAAGAACAGCATGTAGGTGATTCCCAGCAAGGGCAGCAGCACCAGTGTGGCCTTGACTGCTTTTCTGAGGAGACACCACAGAGATGAGCTGCCACTGCGCAGTGCTAAGCATGGGGAATATTCCCATCCCACTCTCAGAACCAACATGAGCAGAGCTGGTCTGTTTCCTAAAGCAATCCCCAAATAATTGGGCTGGTTTGAGCACTCTGTTTGACTTCTCATACAGAAAATGGGTGGTGGATTGCAGAGACCTGACCTTGAGCTGCTGAGCTGAGCTGCTTGGCTGAGCGAGGTCTTCGTTAAAAAAGAATTAAGGAGGGTAAGATAATTTACACCCATCGAGATGGGTTTATGAAAAACTTACTTCAGCTAATTAATTTGATATCTTTTCTTGATGAGATTACAAGTGTGGTTTGTGAAAAGTGATTGTGCTGATGCAAGAGAGCATGGGAAGGATAGGGGCTCACTATCTCATTTGTTTTGATTAGGGAATAAGCACAATGCCAAGCTAACAAATTCCACCAGTAACTTAATGCCAGAAAAACCATCTCTGGTGGGTCTGGGCTGCGTTGGGACCTGCAGGTGAGCCCCAGCCACCAGAACAAGCTGGCAGATGGCATGGTTGAGCTGACAATAGCTGAGGATGCAGGGCTTCAGCTGGCAAACTGGAATATAGCTGGAATATAGTAACTACAAATTGGAGATGCCATCATTCTAAGGCGGTTCCTAGTTCTGCTTTACACTCCTGCTGTTACCTGTACTGGATTGTCTCTGACGTGGTTGATGCTCGGAGCTTGGTCATGAGAATCCGAACGATGTTGAACAGAAAGATGAAGTTGATCTAGAAAGCAGAGAGCAGCTGGTAAGTGTCTGCTCTCCTGTGTTCTCCTCTATTCCCACACCAGAGGAAATGTGCTGAGGGAAATGGGAACACCTCATGAACCCAAACCAAGCCTGGGGTGAACCTCAGAACTCAGAAGCAGTGGATGCAGTATGTGTGGACTCTGTTTCTCATGAGGATTCACACTCTCTTCCTTGCCTGGGAGAGGGCATCAATGTATATACTTCAGCAATAAGATATAGGAGCTTATTTGCAGGACCGAGGGCTGAAGGGTGCATGAGAAGATGAGTGAAGAAGGGGTGTGAGCAAAAAGTGGATGGAGGGGAGGATTGTAAAGCAAACAAAGGGATGTGGGGAGATTGGTTGCCATTGTGGCAAGGAGCTGCTCTCCTGACTGTCAACCGCTAATGAAACTGGGGGGTGGTGCTGGGGCTGAGCACAATTGACACAGATTAGAAGTGGCCAGGCTTCCTGATGGGCTGGGAAATGAAAGCAGCTCAATTATCCAGTGAGGTGCAGGGAAGGCTGTTGGTGCCAGTGATTAATGCCCCCTTGGGTTTTCCCAGCACTGGGCATGGAAGGAGGAGAAGCTGCTGGGACCTTGTGCACAGCTTTTGTCCTGCAAATGCTGATCTGATACTGGCACTGCTGCTTGTGACCTGCTCCTATTTGTCCCTTCCTGGGAAAGTGAAGTCCCAGTAAATTGTTTGACCTCAGGATCAAGCATTTGCTGCTCAGCCAGTGGCCAGGAGCAAACTGCTAGAGAGCAATGAATGAGGCTGAGGCAACTCCTGATGTTTGGCAGAGCACACGCCTGCACACAAACAGTGCCTCAGCAGTGATGGGGAGACTGATCAGTGCTTGTGGGGTTCTGCTAATGGAAGCACCCCTACCAGAGTCCCTTTCTAGTCCATCTCAAGTTATCAGGATCCATGCGTGATGTTTCTCATCACAGCTGGATGTGAGTGGGGGGAGCCAGGCTTGCAGGGCATTGCTGCCATGGGACAGCATAACTGGCAAGACTCAGGTCCACATACAGATGGGAAGGACCTAATATACAGCAAGCAAGGTCACTTTGCCCTTACCAGAAGCACCAGGATCATGGGACCTTGATAGATGTAGTCAGTATAAACTCCTGCTCGCTTCCCAAACCAGCACCTGCAAGGCAAAGGCAGGCAGTGTTGGGAACATGTGGTGTCAGGGACAGGAGATGACAGGGACAAGCCTGCAGCACAAGTGACCTAGTTGACTACTGCCCTTACACAATGTCCCTAGGTCACTGTCATAGCATGAAGGCACTAAACTTAAGCTGCTGTAGTTAAGAGTGGCTGCTATGGAACAGCCTCTCCCACACACCAGACTACATAGGGAGGTTTATCCTGGAGTGTGGGAGCTGGTTACTGTGGGGCAAGGAAGGACAACCATACACAGGTAGGTCTAAGATGGCTCTGTCCCCAGCAAACCCCATGAGAGCTAATGGTAGTATCAGTATCCTGAGAGCACCTGGTTGAATTTTGGTTAATCATTTCTTCTCCTGTGTGCAATAAGGATGCTCAAGTCACGAGGCAGAACTAGTGCTGCAAAACAAGGCGAGCTGCATTCATCGGAGCAGGCTCTTTTCAGTTCCACCATCCCCATGATGAACTCATCAGGTTCCTGTTAAGTCTTCCATTAGCAAGTCTCTGTGAAAATGGCTCAGGTGGTGGTAGTTTATATCTCTACCGGTAGATTAAATCCCAGCTCCACTTAGCAAACACTTCGTAAGAGCTGTGGCTTAATCTAGCTTTTTCCCTTCTTAAAAATCTCATTTGCAGTTTGAAAGGAAAAATGCAGCAGCAGGCAGGGCTCGTGCTGCAGTGAGGGATAAAAGAAAGAATGGAAGGATATCATTTTTCCTTGCACCATTTCCATGTCCCCCACCTCATGTGATCCCCTGCAAGCACATCCATGCCTGCTGTGTGCTGGATCCTGGCATGACCAGGGAATTGGAATAGAGAAGGAGGGGGAAGGAGAGGGAAGGAGAGCAGTGAGGCTCACTTCTCATTGTCGTAGTACAGCTTCCCGATGGCCCAGGCTACAATGATGGGAAAGGGGATACCTGCAGATGAACACACAGACAGGTCTCAGGAGTGCAATACTGCAACCAAACAATGATGGTCTTCTTGCACAGGGCAAGCTGATATGGACATGCAACTACTGTTCTCATGCTCCTGAAAGGAGCTGTTTAGAATCATAGAATCATTAAGGTTGGAAAAAACCTCCAAGATCATCGAGTCCAGTCATCAGCCCATTCCCACCATGCCCACTAAAGCACATCCTTAAGTGCCATTAGGTGAAACCAGAGCAGAGGATAGGGGTGAGTATCACTCACTGCATGTAGGGGAGGCCCTGGTACTTACACCAGCCAATACAGATGAACATCCACTTGCGGAGCTTGTCAGTGGAATAGGTGAGGACGATGGCTGTGTGCAGGTAGCAGCCCTCGCCAAACATCCAGAAGAAGTTGGTGACGTGGAAGTAATTGTAGGCAGCTGTGACCAAACGGCACCAAACCTGCCGAGAGTTTAGGAGACGCAGTGAAGAGCAGAACTACTTCGAGGAGACAACAAACAGATCGCCGTGGCTGCTTCTTGTTGATGCCACAGTAAAAATCAACGTTAGCTCTATGCTACAATGAGGAAACTGAGCCATAACACAACACAGACCCCAGCAGAGCAACTGAGCCCAGGTTTCCCATAAGCTGTGATTGCTCTCCAGCCACCAACCAGCACTATTGACCTCTCATGTAGCTTTTGTGGCCTCATCTCTAAGATCCCTGAGCTTCCCACCTACCACGTTGCTCTCGTGCACCTCTGGGTTCATCGTGAGCTGCACCACAAACCATGTGGCATTGCGTAGGATGAAGGCTGTGATCAGGTTCCAGTGGATGATGTTCCTCAGGCATCGGATGCTCCTGCAGAATGGGGGGGGTCTAAGGATCATCAGAGTACAAGAGTTGTCTGGGGACAGACCCCAGGCGGGCTGCAGGGGAGGACAAGGCTCCTCGTGGAGCTGATTGTTTTCAAAGGAACCCAAATGGTGAGATGCTGGGGCTGTGCCCTGAGTGACACAGCCAGGAGATGGAGGGCAACAAGTAGGACCCTCTGCCTCTATAAGGCATTGCTTTTTAAAGCAACGGGAAGAAAATAACTCTGAGACTGGAGAGCAGCTGGAGAACAACGGGTTATGGAAGGGACATAGCAAAACACCAGGTTTCCAGGTCTGTGCCCACCCAAAGGGACCTCTGTAGGCTGATCCCCCCAGCAGCAGGTCGAGTCTCTCACCGCAGGCGCATGAAGAGCACGAAGGCCACGAGGAGGGCCCCCAGTGAGACACAGTGCCCCAGGTAGTTGATGATGACAGCGATGTGGTAGTGCAGCTTGCTCTTCTTCTGTGGGGAAGAAGACAGAAAGGGGTCGGTGGAAGCCCAAACCCTCCTCCTCCACCACCCAGAGCTGCTCTGCAAATTGGGGGCCCGTTTGCATAAACCCATTGGAGCTCTCCTGGTGGAGAAGCTGCTTGAAAGTGCAGATGGGGCTAATTTAGGGATAAAATATACTGTCCAGGCAATGGGCTTGGGCACTTCACATCTTGCTCCTACATCAGCCCTGCTCAGCACTGGGGCATCCCTGACCCATCATCTGGGGGAAACCCTGCTGCAACTCAGCCCAGCTCACTGGCAGTGTGATGCTTGATGTCTTTGTTCATTCCCTTTAGCCCTGGGGGCAGCTGAGAGGCTGGAATGAATTTGGGCAAAGAGAACAGGGGATCACAGGAAGGCATGAGTGATAATTAAATTAATTGATTTCTCCTGCTGTTAGGCACTCATCCAACCTGTGAATTAGCAATTAACTGAGTGAGAAAACTATTCCTGGCAAGAGATATCAGCATCTTAAATACCAGAGGTGGTTATCAACTGCAAGTGAGCAGCCTGTATCTCTTCTCCTTTGCTCTGAGGGGTGGCTTGACCTACACAGAGGCTTATAATTTTTGGTATCTATTCCTCTCAGCCTCCTAAATATCTCCTTCATTTCACTGCCAGCAGGGAGTTATGAAGTTTGTGTTGTACTGTTCTCCTGGTAAGGAGCTGCAGAAGAGGGTAATAAATGTGGAGAATGTGCTGACCTGTACCATGCAGCCTGGGACCAGGAGACCTCACATTACAAACCCTCTTGGCTTTTTAATGTGGAAGGAATCAGAAATATTTTTACTTTTACAAAGGAATGAAAATGTACATCAAGTACTGAGTCACATATGCTACCCACACCCTTATATAGACATGGATGCTGGTGCATGCCCAGCCCCAGAGCTCTCTTGGGCCTTTCCTGAACCTGGATGCTGTTGCCCTTCAAAATTCCTTCATCCATTCCTCACTTTCTGCCTGGAACCCAAAGCACTACCAATGTCTTACCTCCTCGCTGAGGATCTCCTGGCACTGGGAGTAGTTGACCCGTGCTGCCCAGCTCCCATTAGCGAGGCACTCCCTGTAGCCATTGTCTGAAAGAGAGGTGCACATCGAGGGGTTAACAGTGCCTGGAGGTGGGCTCAAGCCCATGGATGTGCCAGATGAGACCTGATGATTGTCAGTAAGGAAGGGGTCTCTGATATCAAGTGGCATCTTTCTCTTTGAAGTTGCCTCAGATATTTCTTCAGTTGATAGATAACACAGGATCAGATTCCTGGGGTGCCACTCCTGCTCTACAAAGCTTTACAGTGAGAAAAGAAAGGGTAGGAGTCTTTTCCAGAAAGCATCAAGGCTTAGGGAAGTGCTTTCAAGATGATCCGTCCCTTGAGATGCTGCCCCAAGCCTCCCAGAGCACTAATGAGCCAAAATGTGATATGGGAAAGTTCAGAAGCCCATCCTTGTGCTTCCAGACCTGGGTTGAACTTCTTTAGAAAGAGCTCCTTTCTCCTCATTTTAGCAATCTGGAAATCAGAGGCAAACAGCTTAAAACTACATAGGAATGATTCAGACCTGCTCAAAAATGCTTTGGGTCTGCACCAGCGCTGCCCCTCATGCCCAACCAAGCAGCATGAATTCAACTCCTCCACCTGCTCCAGCAATCACCTGCAAATCCAGTGTGGGGTTGGTTGCATCAGGAGCATTCTTTGCCTCTCAACAGAGACGGTGAGGGGCAAGGCTAATCAGGAAGGCACGACTGTGCCAGGCCTGGAGCATCCTCTGATTAGCATCAGCATAAGGCAATGCTGGGCTTCTAATATTAACAGGAGAGACTAAGGGCCTCATCAGGGCAACAGGATGAGACAGGGATGGGATAGCTCTTGAGCAGGCATGAGTAGGAATTAATGCAAACAGACTCCTGCAAGGAGGCACTGTGAAGCAGGATCTGCATGCATGCAATTTTCCACAGCAATAAAAAGGTGTGGTGCAGAAAAACTGATGGTTTCTGCATGGTATGAGATGTTTCTTTCACCAAAAGTAGTGCTCAGGTGGTCATAAACTCATCTGTGTGCTACATATTGCTCTGGTGGTATTCCAAGTGCCCCCACTTCACCCCCTGTTCCCAGCACATTGTTGGCAGTGACATCTCAGCCACCTGTGTTGGAAGGAGATAACAGTGAGGTCCCTGTGTCCCTGCTCAGTTGGGGGCTATAGACCGGAGTGCCACCTCCAGCAGCAGGACAGGTCCTTCTTCAATCCCTGTTCTCCAGATGGAGACATCTCCTGTCACCCAGATGGAGACATTGGCTCCCTTCTCCTTCTCAAGTGCTGTCAAGGAGCACCTGATTATACAACCGTCTTCTCCAAAATGCAAGATGATGGGTTATTTCATTTTTAGATGACATGTCCCACAGAACACCCAAACAAGCTCTGTTCCCATAGACGTTCTGTCAGTTGTGCCCCATTCTGCTATCCACCCCATCCCCACTGCTGCTGCTCAGCTTACTTGTGGTGTTGTACCGCACGCCGTAGAAATACTCGGGGCAGGGCCGAGCCACCAGTTGTCCCACTGCACTGCGGGGCCAGCAAGTGCCAATCAGGTCCACGGAGGCGTTGCACTGAGGCCCTGGTGGGGAGAAGGGTAGAGGTTCAGTGGAGGTCTCAGGACCTACAGGGTTTGTGGTCCTGGTGGAGCTGTTGGGTTGCTCTGTGTTCTGCTCCTAGGAAAGCTTCGTGGCAGACACTAAACACTTTCTGCACCGAGGTTCTCCAAAGAGCTGGTTGATCCATCCTATTAATGATCGTTGCCCTGCACACTCAGATTAAGCCTGTTACAGCATAAGCCTGGTTTCCTGACCCAGCCTTCCACCTGAGCTTGGGGTCCCCTGCTCTGGTCCTCCAAAAAGGGAAGTAACTCTTATTCCATATTTTGAAGAGGGTGAAGGAGGGAGAGTCATTTCCTCAGACATTACTTTGGCATCTGGTCTCACAACAGCCATATTTTCCCATTCCTGGTGCTGGCAGGATGCTCCTCAGAGCCTTCCTGGCTCCAACATCTCCTTCCCAGCCACCCTGTTGGTCTGTTCCAGCCTTTTCCAGGAAGAAAACTCCAGATTTCAAGCAGGACTTGTGTGCTTTTCTCAGCTACGCAAGTGTACTAATGTAGACACCAGGTCGGCCAGATTGCAGGCTCTTTTATGTATAATTTGTGTATATTTAGAATAACATGTACTGTAGCTAAATATGTCCTAGCTCCATCTCAAAGCGAGGTAGGAAGTGCAGTGACTGCAATATCAACACAATGCCACCCCCAGGAGACAGCAGAGGGGTGATGGGCAGCAGGGCACAGGTCAGTCCCAACCACTCCTGGGAATCAGAGCTGTTTGTGCTGCCAGTGCAGAGCCAGACATCGCCATTCCCTAAGGCAACCTCCTCCAATTAGAAGCTCACTGGGTGTAAGAACACATTTTCCTCTCGACCAGGACTTGACACAGCGCAGGCTGTAGTTCAGAAGCCTTTCCCAAGTATGGATAGAGCTGGCTGAAAAGCAACTGAACAAAACAGCAAAGCATTGCGTGATGATTGTGATAAAAGTATTTCTTTTAAGGGGGAATATTTTCTTCCATTGCTTATCTGAAGAATTGGCTCTGTGGCTTCTTGGGACATTCACAGTGCACAATTTCAGTGTGAAGGAAAGGAGGGTTGTCTTCATTCCTCTTTTCTAGACAAAGAAAGCTCCAAGTGTGAGAGCTGCAAAGCATCCGAGCGTGGTGAGTGCTGCCTTCTGCCTTCCATAGCTGGTAGTGAGAAATTAATTTTAACACTGACCTTTGCTTTTAGCTTTCTTCATGTGTATGGTTGCTGTAGCAACCTTTACTTTATGTTAACTTGTTTTAATGTAGCTTTTCTTAGGAAAAAAAAAAAAGTGTTTAATCACACATGTAGAGTGAGCATGTCTGTCTCATCTGCATCCATTAGGAGCTGTTGTGCTCCTCAGGTGTTTTGACCCAGACTTGGTAGAGAAATAGAGGGTCACAGGCAATGAAATCCCTATGTAAAAATTTATGATAATGCACATCCAGATAGAGAAAAGAGAACTGGTAATTGCTTCCACTGAGGACAATGTTAAATTGTGAGTGCTCTCCCTATTAGTCACCTGGGAATCCACCCAGGTGAGAAGTCACATGAATACCTGGAGCATGAAAGATTAATTTGGAATAACCCAGCATGGGCAAAAGGAAGTTGCACAGTGCCGATGGCAAAAATTCTCTCTGGGAACAGCAGGGTTGAGCACAAGTGCTATTTTCTCTTGGTCTCTTGTGCCTCAGTTTCCCTTCCTCCATCCCAAGGGCTGTGCTGTTCTTAGAGGGCCAAACAAGGCTCAGCAAGTACAAGTCAGCAGAGCCAGAGGCTGGCAGCAACGTAAAGCAGTTGCTGAGTCCACTCAGTAAAGCAAAACCACTGCAGAACCATCAGTAACAAAACCTGTGACACACTCATGGAAATTATGTGGTCAGACAAAAGTGGCATTGTTTGGTAACAGTTCTGCTCAAGTTTGGATGTAACGTGTCCACTTTTCTCCAAAGCACTTGATTCAGTGTTGCTTGGCACTCCACTTTAAGTGGGAGGCTAGAATCTCTCTCCCACTTTCTGAATCTCAGAAATGCTCTTCTCTCCAGCATGTAGGAAAGAAAAACTCTCAGTCTGGGGAAGGGTTAAGTAAAGCAGTAAGAAGGTGCCATGGGGGCTATGCTGTCCCCTTTGCCCATCACACTGTCTGCTCCAGATGTTCCCCAGTGGCACATGTCTCCCAGCATTTAGAGCACTGTTTAGCATGGAAATGATATGCATCAGTGCTAAAGGCATTCAGATCTGCTTTGCAGCCCATTCTATTTGCAGGGGATTATTCTCCCAGGTTCTGCAGCCGCCTGCTCCAGCTTCCTCAGCATTGTTGGCTTTGGTCTTTGCAGTAAGAAAGGTCAATAAATATTTGCATCCAACTCCCTCAATTTTGCTCCCTTACTCTGTATAGAAATACAGCATCTAGGGTAGGAGAGAGCTGGTCCTGCCTTCAGACAGAGAATGTGGCACCGGGGGAGCCACTCAAATCCCTTCTCATCCTATTTCCTTACGGGTTTTTCTGCTTTGAAGCAATGTAAAGCATTTCTGAAGAAAGAAGTACTTTTCCAGGGACTTACACTGAGACGACTACTTCACAATAACTGCATCAGGATAACTATAGCAATATCCTTGCTGCTTCTATAGAACATGGCATTATCACTGCCTGCGCTGCTCACAGAAGCTTGAGACAGCTCCAAGATAAAGCCATGCAGACGTATGAAGCCTGGCAGCTAATCTATCAAAAGATTTGGAACAAACGTAAAGAGGGCAAAGCACATCAACCCTGTGCCAGCGCCACCAGACGTGTGGCTGTAGTGCTGCAAGCCAGCGCCAGGAGATTTGGACCAGGTTTGTGCTTTGTACCATCAAATCATTGCTTTGTTCAAGCAAGGATTGTGCTGATAGAATCATGTTGGGGAACACATCCCCATCTCACACCCCAGTAAAGCTTTGCAGCCATGCAGTGCCTCAGCTGGATGCTGCATCCCCAGCAATGCTTCAGCTGCACTGCAGATGAAGCCTTTGTCAGTTCATGCAACGCCAAAGGGGCAGGAGAGACGATGGGAAGCTGAATCACACACTTGTCCTTATGTTGAGTGATGCAGTTATTTATCCAAGGTATCTCAGGAGGCTGAGTAACAGCTGAGATGCGTTAGCTCATATCTCTACCAATCTGGAAATGTTACTCAACAACAACTATCTCTGTTCATCCCTGATGGCCTCAGTGGCTGTTTCTCATGCAGGCTGAAGCCCTGAGCTCCTAAGGGACGTTCCTTCTGCAGCACTTGTATTTATCAACCTGGGCTCC